TTGTGCGGCCGGCGCGGCGGCGGGCGCGGCGGCTCGGGCTCCTGCGCGCGCTCGGGCTCCTCCATGCACAGGTGGTCGGGGTCCCCCAGGCGCGGCAGCCTCTCGCACGCCATGCGCTCGGGCCACTGGAAGCCGTACTTCTGCATCAGCGGCGCGCAGCCGGCGCGCGCGCGCTCGCACACGCTGCGGCACGCCGGCAGCGGCTTGGCGTAGTCCTCGATGCAGATGGGCGTGTACACGGAGCACAGGAAGAACTTCAGGTCCGCCGAGCACTTGATCTCGACGAGGGGCCAGTACTGGTGGACCTGGAACCGACGACGCGGCGGGGTCAGCGCGGGTGCTTGTCGGGGGGTCGACGCCGCGACGTCTGCGCGGGAACGATACCGACCTCGAGTCCGGCCTCCTCTTGCGTGTCGTGGTCGAGACCGTTAGGGAAGGACGTGAGATTGTACCCGATGCCGCGACACATGGGGATGGTGATCTCTTCGCAGCGCGGCTCGATCGCGCTCGCGCAGCTGACCAGCGCGACCGCCGTCAGCGCCGCACGCCACATGTTGCTAGCTTTTATAATTACCGCATCTGGAACGAACGCGTAATTGTCTGTGAGTCCTGAGATACGTCGTCAGTTTCTTGAAAATATGTCCGCTGATAAGCCACCATTCACGAATTAGTGAAATTAGTTGAACAATCTTAAAGTATTGTATTGCCGCAATAAAATTTAGCATCTGACGTTACAACAACCTGGCAATAAATATTTTTTAACCCCATTATAGATGGACTCCTTAGTATTTGCTAGCTAAACATTGTAGCTGTAAATTTTACAGCACTAGGTCGGTTATCGACTTGTTCAGGGGCTACTGTCCGCAGTTATTGGGGTGATAACGATAGATAACGTAATATTGGGAATGTGATACGCAGATTTATACCGCGAATGTTTCGAAAATTACTTATTGGATGATTGCGTATTGTTCATTTAGCGATAGGTACTTATTATGAAGTAGACACACGTGGACGAGAGACAACAAGGGTCCAGTGAATGCTTTTGTACTAAAGATGTTTTAATTTCGAAGTAGGTTACATTATTTATTACACTTTCATGTTCTATTCAGAGAACTTAAAAAACTCGAAGCACTTTAAACTTTGCATTTATTTTCCATTGAAAGGAAACGGACATGATAAATCCGTCTTCTTAAGGACATATCACACATAACTTTGTGCTAAAAGAAGACATGCAGTATCCCAAGCATCTGAGACAAAAAAGGAGGAAAAGTTTCCGGAGGTACAGGTTCACCCGACGTTCAGTTAAATAGTTTCTATTTATTTCGGGCGAACACGCCCGCGTAAATATAGACCGAAGATTAGCCCGCGTGGTTAAACGACAGATGTGGCAGTTTAGAAATCGTTAATGCCTAATGTAGTGTTGTCTCTGGGAGCTTTGTTTGGATGTAAAATTCTTGCGTCAAGACACGGAATGTTAGTGTATATGTACCTATTTCGATTTGATGAGTTTGTTAGTGATAGTCAATTATCCTTCGAAGTGTTTAACTAATTCTTTTATGCGTTTTGTTGTTTATTTGGTTGGTTCCTTAATTAATTAGTTTGTGACGAAAATTACACATTATACAACTTTACGATTCAAAGCACGTAAGCAACGGCACCAGTAAAATAGCAGGTTACATTGTTGAAGTCGCTAAAGCCCACACTGGGTATATTAGTGAATCCAGATATACCAGTTCCTACTGGTGTATTTGAATTCAGCCTAAAAGTAGACTAAAATAAACTGTCTAATCTATGACAGCGTGGTGCGCCTGCGACGCTCAGTTAATGCGCTTTTAACGACACACGATATCGACACGTGGCCGGCACGACGCCGACCGACGGCCGATGGTTAAAATTAAATTAGGTGTTTCGTTTGATAGCTTGTGGTTACTCTGTTTGTTCAGTTAATTAAACTGTAACGTTACGAAACTAATCGTAAAATAGACTCTGGTTTCGTTTTAGATGATGCTGCTGGAGAAGACGGCGGAAATTTCAACGCGGTAGAGTAACTTGATTCTTAAAAGTTCGAGTTAACACAATCAAGCGAATCATAACAATTTTCAAAAGTGAACCGTGTTTAAAAATTTGTACGTACCTAATTTGATTCATAACCGTTCGTATAATTCTTTTCCACGCTAAATCGAAAACATTTCGATATTACAAAGAATAAAATGTACACACATTAGGTTATTTTAGTTTATGCAGAATCACTTTTCTATAAATCTCTATACCATAATGAATGATGCAACGTTGTAATTCTTCAACATGCGGTGCGGGTGCGTTGCTATTTCGATTATTATAATTAATTTAGCAGAAACTATCCGCAAAGGGCGTATCGTTCTAGCTCGCAAGTATAAAACCTGTTCTAGCATGCAATGCTGAATGCGTGAGAGAAACACAAAATGCGATTCGAGCTGGATCTCATTCGTGGCCACTAAATAAACAATACCGTGTAAAACGAGACTTCTCGGTATTGAACTGACCGTACAAGCTCATACAATAAGGTTGTAAAGCTTTAACAACACTGGGAACACTCGTAGAACTATAATTCTTAAAAGTTACCTAATTTAAGAATATTATGGAAAATAATCTTTTATTAACCGGCACGAACTCAGTCACATATTTTTATTTCTGAGGTAAGTACATTACACTTGAAATCGTCAATTTGATAATATACTCATTCGTAAGGCAGATTGCCCTGAGACGAATGAGTACGAAAATCTAAGGGTTGCTCTTTGTAAATAGACTTCTGTTCACATTTGCAATAATATTATATTAAATATCATAGATACAAATAAGCTGCAATTTCTGCTGCCAAATAGTAATGTGGACATTAATGCGTTCCGGTTTTGAAGGGTTAAGAGTGCTGGTGAAATTACAGGCTCTTGGGACTTGTCAAATTATGTCTCAGGGTGACATGACGATTTAAAAGTGGCACTAAAACTGCTATGGACAGGCGTGTCGCACCACGAAACGCACGATTTGTCCATCCTGTCACTTGGTATCAGAAAAAACTTGAGTGTAAACTTTTTGTTTTTACTAAAGTTCTAAACCTTCTGTAAATGGCATTTTTTGTTTGTCAAGCAGCTCAGCGCAACTATGTCGCTCCTATTTGTTAAAATAATAAAAACTGCCTCAGTGGCCGAACGGTTACCATGCCGGACTGTCACGCAGAGCTCCCAGGTTCGATTCCCGGGCTGTGAGAATTTGTATGGTCTACATTTATTTCTCTCGTGAGTTTGGGTACAATTTGTGGTTGTTTATGTCTGTCCATGGCACCCGCAACACAGGGTTCCCCTAGTGCGGGGCTATGTTGAGTGTGTGCGTTATTAAAATCCTGCTTGTGTTTTGCGATCAATTATTTCTTTTGTAACAAGAGCGTTTAAGGGTCGTTTTCAGATAACCTCCAAAAATATGTCCCTTTCCATAACTTTTATGTTATTACATGAATGCTAAACATTATTTATGTAATATGATTGCTTGCTTACTTACTCTGTATTACACATAAAAAGACTACTTTACTACGTCAGGGTAATAATAAAAATTAAAAAATGGACAATTTTTCATTCATTGGAGCCCGTTTCACGTCGCCTAATTTTAAGAAAAGAAGAAAAAAATTTAACACTCGTGGAAATCGCAATATTTCCCATCGAGGATAAACTCTAATAACTTATACGTCGAATACATACCGTAACTTTCCAATTTATTATAAACAAACATGTTTTCTTGGGAATACAAAATGTGTTTCAATTTTTCTTATCATTAGTGTCAATTCAATTAAAAGCATCCTAATAACAAAAGTTCATATCGCATCGCCTTCACCCTTCGCACACGTGAGAAGGGGCTCCTGTAGGATTGGAGTGTATACAGTGAAGGAACCTGTGCATCTCCGTTGTAGCAAAAAATCGACTTAAATACCAATTTCAGCGCTAGCGACTAAATCGTTCTCATTCATGTAAAGCAATCTATCTAAATAAGTATTATGTAATAGTTTTATAAACTTTATTGTACATCAATTAGACAAAGGAAACTTAAAATCGATGCACTTTTATAACGGTCCAGCATATTTTACACACTTGACAACTAAAAATGTATCCAAATATCATTATTGTCGCTCTCATTCTTGTCTACTTTTAAGTCGAATAGTTACTTTAAGCCAAACAGTTACTTGAAATGTTAAAATAAATATAACAATTAGAGAGTGATAGTGTGTGGTGATGACGGTGGGACGATGATGATAGTAGTGATGATGACGAAGATTGTGATGATGATGTGAATGGTAATGATGCTGATGATAATCGTGATCATGATGATGATGTTGATGGTGGTGATGATGATATATTGATATACAACAAAGTTTATATGATATTAACAAAATACTTATTTAGATTTATTTACTAATTACATGTAGATAGATAGATGGTCTTACACGGATGATGAGGATTTTGATACAAGAATTTATATTAAAATTTTTACATGTTAAATGTTTTTTTGTGAATGATAAAATGTGTGTTGTAATAATAATTCCTCATTACTGTGCCGTCTTTCTTATTTATGTTTATGAGAAAATCATTCGTGTTACTGCAATCTCATTCGTGTGACCTAAAATATCTTTTTTGTCGTATTTAACTAAAATATTTCTGTGATTTTATAATTATTGACATTGCTTGCACTTATTTGTACGTTTAAGACCTTAAAACCAAAAGAAAAAAGGGTTTTACAAAAATCACTCAAAAAGTGCCATTGAAATTCGGAAAGTGAAATTCACCCTTAATGAGTGGAAAATTTTCTCGTAGTCACCCGACTACGAGACACACACAACAGCTCTAACAGCTCTAACAGCTCTAAAACACGCAAAACTAATAAGTATAAACGATGCAGCGCACTGCAATGGCACGCGCAGGATGTGAGACGTGAATAATTACAGACTACTGGGGATTAAGGTGCATTTCTCTTGTTTCATAATAAACAATGCGTTTCAACGTGAGTCTTGCTTGCTTTAACGAGGAACAGGGGTTCGGGTCGCAGCGCAGGCGGCGACAATTGCTCTGCGGCAAGATTAAGACTAGAAAAGAAATAATTTTAACTCGTTTGTACGGAAATTCACTTTGCTAATTGGTGTATATATATATTAACCGACATTGAAAAAGAATAAACGTATTTTTGTTTTTGTGTGTATGTAACGCTATTTTTATTGTAAAGAGGTTAGGTTAGAGGCCCTATTCAAATTCGAATAACATATTACACCTATAAGAGAGGCGAATTAGGCGGTGAATCCAGTTTAATTGGATTTCAATAAAACTTGGAATCATCATCATCGTCAACCCACTTATACGTTCCACTGCCGGGCATGGGTTTCCTCTCAGTAGTAGTCTAGTTTCATCACGATGGTTTTCTTCACCGAAAACACACGGTAAATTTTAAATTAAATTTCACACATAAATTCCGAGTACCTCTCAGGTGCGAGGCTGGATTCGAACCTACGACCCTCTGCTTGAGAGGCAGTAGGACAAACCAATAGGCTACCAAGGCAAAACTTG